AATAAATAAATAAATAAATAAATAAATAAATAAATAAATAAATAAATAAATACTACTGCTAAACTAGACAGCATTCCATGTGCCATCAGAAACTCAGCATTCATCAATTGTTCTCACAGAATGATTGTGATGATGGGCTAGTCAACCTTGCTTGGCCTTTCTCATCCTCAGGGGTAGCCCATTGTTTTGAGGAGGCTATGTGAGAATGAAACCTTGGCAAGCACATTCTAGCTCCCCATTCCTCTTTGATACCTGCCCTAGTTCTAGCTACAGAATGATATGGATGATAGGCCCTTGGTGGTCAATTCATTTCTTCTCCTCTTCATTAGAGAAATTGCTTTGTAGGACCTAATGGAGCATTCCTGAGAAAAGACCTCTCCCTCATCTCCTTTGGTCAAGTCAAGTCAAGTCCACCATATAACAAGTCTGTCCATTTAAATTTCACTATTTAAAAAAAAAATCAGCCCAGATTTAATTGACATTTTCCTTCGGGCAGTGTCCACCAATTATCATTTCTATCAGATGAAGGTTTTCTGAACTGCACTTATTTCATTTACTTGCTGCAAACACATAGCACCATATTTCCCAAGAACTCACTGAATGCAGGAGTTGATCGACTGTTGCTGCATATAATACTTTGGCATGAATGGTGTTGTACTGCTCGGTATGGCGTGTTTAATCAAAAACAAAAAAACCACCCAAATATTAGAGCTATATAAAATACGCTGCCTGATTAGCAGCAAGTGAAAGGGAAATCGAAATGGGTTTATAATCAGGACTCAGAATAGAGGGAATAAAGATAAAATGGAAGGAAGGGGATGCAGAGATGAAGGCTGGTCAAGCACATGTGACTTTTCCCTTCTACTCTGTTGTTCTGAAACCCAATTTAGGCCAAGATGTGCATTGCTACAGGTCCTGGAGAAGACATGTTTCAGAGCACACAAATAATTGGAAGACAAATCTACTTGAAAGCAAAGGTAGGTCTGGAAACGTAAAATTCTTTAAAAAGATGGATGCTAGAGTTTGTCACTTTTCTTGATAACATGCCACCTTTCATTTCCTTTTAATTAGAATTTTTTTTTCTGTTTTTTAAAAAAACTTTAACAACGGTACAGCGTATACAGATATGCAAATATATATAGTTAGAGATTTAATTGGAATAATTTTTAACGTAAAAATCAGTTGGTATAAGGTGCCTGACAGACACTGAGAAAGCTGTCTACAGACATCTGCATTAAGTCTAGATCCTTTTCCTATGAGGGCTTGGACCTAAAATTAGCTCAAACAGACTGTAAGATTCAGGAAAGATATAATCTAGTCTTCCATTACTTGATTGTTCCTTAAATATGTTGAACTACAACTCCCATCACCTCCAACTAACATGCCCATTGGGGATAGGGCATGATATGGCACATATCATAGCTTTTTTTCTAACAGTATCTTATCTGGTTAGAGTTCTCGCTTCCTAGCTAGTAGGATACC